TTTTTTTGCGCGGCCGTTGTGCTGTCACGTAGTGCCGTAGCGACCATTAACCTTTCGCATGTCAGGAAGTAAACATTGAAGTAATCTCCTGAATGGGAAACGTTTGGGGGAACGAAGTTTCGTGCGCAATTCTCGTTCAAAATATGAGATTCGTGAAAAATGATAAAATATAAATTAAAATTTGCAGATTTGTAGATATCCGTGTTTGTTACATAAAAATATAATGAGAATATGAGAATATTTTAATAACGAGATAAATAATAATGGTATATCGGTAATCAAATTGTACCAAAGAGATAATTAAAATCTAAAAGTTAAAATCTTGTATAAAATTCTTATTTCACACGAGGAATTGTTTTTAATTTTTTTTTTTTTATTTATTATTTATTGTAGATATATATTTTATCATATAAATTGTATTCTTATTTAAATCATGAAAATTTGTTTTTGTAGTTTACTATAATAGTAATAACGCTCTTGTATATTTTTAGATCACTATCGTTGCATGATACTAGGAGCATAGTAGCTAATGAGAGAGACATAAACCTTGCGAGTCAAAATATCAATGCACCAGTTCGCGCATCATCACATGAGGAATTCAGCGACTATTCCGAACATGAAGGAGAGGCGGTGTCACCGAAGCCTGCCCATAAACCTTTCTTCCGCAGATTATCTTTTAAGGGACTTAAAAAAGGCAAGAGTTTCTTCCACAAACAACAGAGCGATGAAGTCGAATTGTCTCACAGTGAACACCGTAAAGACAAGCACTCCAAGGCAAAGCTATCGAAAATCGTGGTGGAGTGTCGAAAGGAAGGAATCGTTAATTCTTTGATGGGAGAAAACATAGACGGCACACAAAAATGGGAAAAGTCACGGTTAGCTCTAATAAAAGCCATCGGTGGTTACATGTTGGAATTTTACTCTCCGCCGAAGGCTGTAAAACCACGAAGCGGTGTCTTTTGCTCGGCGATAACGGAAGCAAGGGAAACTACGGCACTCGAAATGCCGGATCACGAGAACACGTTCGTTTTGAAGACTCAGAATATGGAATTTGTCATCGAGGCGCACGATTCGAATGATATGAAATCGTGGTTGGCGACGATCAGATATTGCATGCGAACTGTGCAGCAAAGCTCTAGCGCTCCCGGTTCCGGACCGGGTGATTCCTTAGGTGATTCCCTAGGCCACGGTTCGCTGGCTATCGGATCCGACAGTGATCGATTACGAGCCAATTCGGCAAGTAAGAGCTTCCGATCCGCTAGTCATGAACATGGTGACGACTCGCAGGGCAATCCGCCGGAATTACCTCCAAGACTTCATATGCGTAGCAGCAGTAATCTAGAATTATGTTCCTCTCAGCAAGAAATCGAGCAAAGTAAGAAATGAGTTTATGTGCAAGTTATAAGAATATAATCTAGAATATAAGTAAAAAATTATTATATTTGTCTGCAGTGCCTGCTAACGAAGGTGAGCTGGATTTGTCGAGTAGTTTACGAGAATACCCATGGTTTCATGGCACCCTTCCTCGCTCGGATGCTGCACAGCTCGTGTTACACAGTGCAGCTAATGGTCATGGCGTATTTCTGGTTCGACAAAGCGAGACCAGAAAAGGCGAATTTGTATTAACTTTTAACTTCCAAGGAAGAGCAAAAGTAACTACATATATTATTTCTTTTAACGCTTATGATATTTAAATTAATTTTTATCATTATATACGTATCATTTTTATTACAGCATTTACGGATGACGCTAAATGATCAGGGCCATTGCCGAGTTCAACATCTATGTTTTCCTGCGATATACGATATGCTTGAACATTTTCGCCAGAACGCGATACCACTCGAGTCTGGTGGGACTGCGGATGTTACTTTAACAGAGTATGTAGTGGCGACGAATCATGCATCACGATCGGGGCACCATAACGTGGCGAGTAGTTCGAATGTACAACAGTTGCAAGAGAGGAGACCTCCGGCAACCCTGGAGCCCAGAGAAGTAAGAGTCTGCAGTGGAAGTCTAACTCCTCTTGTGTGAGCGCGAGTGGCCAACACCCACAGTCTGAAGTCTAATCTACAGACAGTGAGTAGATAAACCAGCTAAAGCGCCCATATTTATTGTATGGTCGATAATAGAGAAAATTTAATCGGTGTTTGCATTTGTGTAAACTTGCCGGAAAACTTGATGGAAATTTGTATAGATTGATATACAAAGTTAAATACAACGCAACCAATTTATGTATCTTTTTTATGATCAAATTATTATATAATTTATTTAATATAATACGTTCAAAAATATATGCACCTCCCAGAAAAAAATCAAATAATATATATTCCTTACATTTATACTTTTTCAAATTTTTTTCATATCCAAGATATATTATGTTACAACACTCTTATACCTTTTTTATTTATTTATTATTTTTAATTATTTTATAAACGATAATTTCATTAAATTTGTATATCATTCGGCTAAATATACAAAATTGTTACCGTGTGATGAAATTGTTGTGAAAAGTTTGGTATGATATAAATGTGTGAGATACAGTTGAGAGAAACATGACCGTGGGACAAGGAGCTCGCTTTTACGTGTGAAGGCTTTTTCTTGAAATTTCTGGTTTACTTTATTATTACATATACTTTATTATTATACATATACTTTATTATTACATAAAAAAATTATATCAGCTATTTATAAGCAATAAAGGAGAATTCAGAATCAATTAGTATTCTGACAATTTGAAAATTAAATCGCTTTCAAAAATATATAAAAAATAGTATTATTAAATTAATAGGCTAGTACTAATATTCTGGACAAAAAATCTTATTTGCTTATATTTTCGTAAAAAATGTTAGAAAAATTCTCGTCGATATTTCTCTATGATGAATCGATAAGATTTATGACATACGTTATTATATGTAATTTTCGCGAGTTATTTAGTAAAATGGATATCCGAGATTTATTTTATGCTTTGATATAGATATTTGCATTCTTAATGTTATTTATATTCCATACAATACTGCAATAAAGCCAAATTTTATTATAAATTTTATTCATTTTATATTATAGCTTTTATTGTAGATTTTATTCTGAGATACTGACGAGCATTTTCAGACACGATGTATATATTTTACTACTTCCAAAATCCAGAAACTTTAAGAGAAACTTCCGATAAGATAGCAAAATCGGGAACATATATGGGTATACTTATGAAATGTTAATAAAATAGGTACGCACTTATGGTGGTTCTATAAGAACGCGCGTGGAATCATTGGAGAGACTAGAGCAGCAGAATACCATTGCAGAGCAACAGGGCTCGGCTTCGTCCACTGGCAGAGCAGTTCAGAACACTTATAGTTTTCTCTGACGCTGGATTCACGCTAACCCACCATCAGGCTACAATCCAGTCAGTCCGACGGACTGAACGTGAACGATGAAGTAATGGCAGTTTTTATTTCCAGAATTGCGTCACACCATAAACTACTGTTTGCGAGAAAGCGCATCACTTTACTAGTACAAAAGAACTGCGTTTCTTTCTTTTTCCTCCCCCTTTTTTTGGAGACTATCTTCCAATCATTGACTCTTGCATTCAGCATTTGACATTATATCTTTACGATTAATCAGCAACGTATTTGCATCGCATTTACATCGAATACTAAGAAATAGAATAGATTATTAGCAAAACGAGTCTAAGTTAGCAATAATTATTTTATAATATTGTGCTCAAATTGTCACCCCCTTAATGCCACAGCATTCCACAGAGCTCCCTTTCGCAGGTTCGCATGTATCCGACTCGTCTTTACCGAACTCTAATAGCCTCCTCATATATATTTTTACTGAGAGAATGGATATATTTGAATGAAAAGACCCAGGTCTCGTTACACCGCTTGATTAAATACACGTAACATTGTACGTGAAAGCATGCGTGCCATATGTATCCGATGGGGAATAATAATCTATGGAATCGCAAGTACTATGAACTGCCAATGTATCGCGATTCCCATTTACGTCTTTGAGCCATCCCGAAGACTTCGACAAGTACGCCAAAGCTAAAGCTAAAATATTATTAAATCCCGCTTCGTCACGAGTTTGTTATACAAAATTGCATTTCAGCCGCATTGTCACTTAATCCCAATGCTTCGCGTAGGGCGAATAAATGTAATGTGCCCTTTAACCATCGATAAGCATAAGGCGAGCAGCGATATTTATAAAATACCCCAGTCCTCATCAGTGTAAAATCAGTGTGTAAATTCGTCGAGCGAATAAAAAGAAGGGGAAGAAAGGAGAATACGACTATATTTGCATACGGGATGAACGGAAAGGATAAAGCATTTCGAGCATACAGTAAGTATGGTCCCTCTATATATCCCTGCTAAAATAGCAACAATCGTATTCGACAAGTCGTATCGACGTGTATTAACAAATTGTGTAACGGCTAAGAATTATCATTAACACCATAGAGCAATATGACTGAGTGTGCAAAATTAGATTATAGATAAATGTTATGGATGAGTGGTACAACACGTATGATAGAGAACAATGATCGACAGAGTATTCCGATTTGTGAAACGTGCAAAGCAGGTATCCTCAGTACGAGCCGAACTGATTACTGTGATAAGATCTCTCATTCGCACAAGGCATCCAATAATCCCCCGTTGCCGTCCGTGCCAGTCTATGTTCTTTATTCAAGAGACTCGTAAAACAGACAAATTTATCACGCATTTGTATATTTCACACACTACTCGCCATGCCGAAAGTTATAGGAATAGAGTTTCCATCGCAAAAAAACGAACGAAAAAGAGACAGAAAAATGTAAGAAAATTATAGTCGATCTAGAAAAAAATCCGGAAAGTCTGTATCACAAATTCATCCTTTTAGTCGAAATGCTCGCAAGATCATGCTGTAAGTAGGATGTAAGCTTGTTCCTCGTGTAGCCGCAATTGAGAAGACAGTTCTGAGGTATACAGAGTTTGACAACTACTAAGCATTCAACCATAATACTTTTCTACCTTATGTCAAGATGCAAGGATGAAAATAAAAACTGAATCCCCTGAGAATTCTTTGCAATGTTACTTCCAATTACTGATAGATATCGTGCGAAATATTCTATTTGCATCGTGTTTATTAGTCTGAAGAATTATTAGAAAGAATTAAGAAAACTGATGATTTTTTTTATAGAAAATTATTAATTATTTATGAGTATTTTATAATCAAAATTAAAAATATTTATAAATTTTTAATTTGAAATTAGAAGAAAAGTTTTAAACAATTTTTAAATTATTAATACATTTCTTGATTAGGCAGGATATTATCTCATCTTATTTATATTATTTAGCTTATCTTTTTATTTTAACTTTAGATAAATTATTTATCTCTGTATTTAATTCTCGGTTTATATATACCTATTTATTTTAAACTATTCTCAATTATAATAAACACATATAAAAAAGAATGTAAAAAAAACTAAAATTTAAATATATACAAAAATATATAATAGCCCCTTCTAATAAATGATTTTGAACGCGAAATATATCAGTTGATGCCTCAGCAACAATAATTTTCGAACATGAAACCAAAACGATATTTTTATATTCATGAAAATTATAAAACCAAACTTAATTTCGACATTTTGAAAATTTCATTTTTCGAGACAAGTATACAAAATTAGGCTAAATTTTTGTGTTAAATCGTAATTAAATATTTTTTTCGATTGTATCGTTATCTTTCACGAGAAAAGTCAATCGTTTTGACAAATACTTGATTTCTTTGTAATCAGGAATAGTCAATATACGATAAATACACGCTATCTGCAGCTACGGTGCAGCTGCAGATAAAACTTTCTCTTCTATCGTACATACATTCTCAATACGAATACCGTCATCTGATTCGGAAGTGGTCCTGTTTGACACGTTTGACGTCGAATTCTGGACATTTATTATGGCAGCTCAGGTAACAACAGAATGATATTTTAATTTCGAATGAATTCAGGTGTTTGAACTACCTGTTTGATGAACGATCTATTTATCAGGTGCACGAGTTCAGCGTCGAAATGACATGTGAGGGATGTTCGAACGCTGTACAGAACGTACTCAAAAAGAAAGCAGGTATATGAGAATATTCATAATAATTAATTTTACAAGTAAAAAATATTTCCGTATATACATGCATATTCCATGAAAAAATGTCCCGTCAAAATTTCTCGAAGATTTACTTCTGTGAAAATTAAAGTAGGAAATGAGGTTAAATATATTGTATAGCATTAAACATGAACATGACACAACATTATTTTAATAAGAAAAGATGCATATATGCTATGATTTATGCTCCAAGTATGTCTGATAAATTGTTTACTATGTGATACATAGGCATCGATGACATCAAGATAGATTTACCTGAGAAGAAAGTACACGTAACCACTGCGCTCAGTTCAGATGAGATTTTGGAAACAATCAAGAAAACAGGGAAGTCTTGCCAATTTTTAGGGACGTCTTAAAGTTGTGAAGATAAAGAGTCATGATATTACAAGGTGCTGCTAAATACGCCAAGTATAT